CAAAATTGTGAACTTTGTCTGGTGCCACGGAAGTATTTCCTATTTGATTTAAAATATTCTTTTATTCTTTTGGAAAATTTTGATTTCATATGGAGAAATGGTGTTCATTCTTCTCATTTACATATCGGCCATATTGGAGCTATAATGGCGACAGATTCCATAAAGGCTTATATAGAGAACATACAAAAACCCGCAGATTTTATATACTAACTATTTCGGAAAAAGTTCTTCCGCCGATGTTTAGATTTTTTTTATTATCTTCTACCGGAAATGACAATATTGTTGATGCCAAAGTGAAAGTTGCGACCGCCTTTTTAATTTGAAATTCCGAAGCGAGAGTATAATGTTTTTATGAAGGAAAGAACACCGAATTGGTGTCTTTATCATTTTTGGTGATTAAATGTAAGTGTTTATTGCAAGTTGACAGAGTTCTTCCGCCGATTAATAGGTGCAGACGAATGCCTATTTTTATAAAATACAGATGATTTATCATTTCATGAAGAGTTACGACCGCCTTTTTAATTTGAAATCGGCAATTTCTTGCATCAGTGTGACCTATTCATTACCAAAAAAGATGGTTTCATGAGTTTTCAACTGTTAGTAACCCAAAATTCTGCCCAAATAACTATGACGGAGGCTTAAAAAAAGCAAAACACACTCTGCTTGCAGGAATTAATATCAAAATTTAAAGAAATGGAATATTTCGAGTTTATGCAGGATCTTATGAATATTAATGAGAAGTAAATCACGTGGGAGCAACCTCATGAATAAACTGTACATCATTTCTCCATATGTTACGCTTTTAAAGATAATATTTTTGGAACAAAGTTGGAATGAAGGCTGAAGCTGTTGTCCAACGGCATTGTGCTGAATCAGGATCCCAGAAGTTGTTAGGATGCTGCATGCTGTTAATTTATCAAACCTGCAGTCCTAATTGACGATCCGTTCTTACATAGATAATGAATCAGAAAGCACAGTATGCGGGACAAGTTTTGATTGAATTTTTTTCCTTTAGGATAAAATGATTTAAAAAAAATAGATTATGCACCTGATAGATACCTATACCGCATATCGCATATAAATATATACTTTTTACTTAGTAACCAGAATATGTAATGGAAAATTAGAAAGTGAAGACATTAGGTTAAAAAGATCTTGATCTAAGAAATGACAAATTATTCCTTCCTAGTCACTATACATCTTAAAACTACGGTCGTACCCCCCCCCCCACACACACACACACACAAGGGAGTATGTATTATGCATTTTTTTTTTTTTTAATTTTTGGCTTATATATCATTATATATCAAGAAAAGTCTGTTTGTTTCTGCCCCCCCCCCCCCCCGAAATGAAATTGCTTTCTACGGATTTGAATCAGAACGTGACTTTCATAATGAAAGTACCTTAAAAATGTTTCTACCCCTACGTTTCGGTATAGGAAATATGAACCACTTTTTTTTTATATTTTCATTCATTTATATTTTTCATTGCGGGCTTAAAGACTAGCACATAAACCCAAAGATGTCGACATTTTTCAAGTCCATTACAGAACGTGACATTAATCGCACAATCACAGGGATGAACTCAAAGAAATAAAATGAGGAATAGACATTTTGACTCAACTTATAGACGAATTTTGAAAATGAATCGATATTAGTTCTCTTTCTTGTCACTCTTTCCTCAAATATGTACCCCATGACTCTGGATAGGGGTCAGTATTTTTTTCTGTAGATCTGAAGTACGAGGGGGAGGAGTGGAGGGGTTCCCTAGAATTTTTCTGAGAATAGTCTTTTGCTGTAGTTTTAATATGTGAGTTTTGATTTGGATGCTGCTTGCCTCTCTCCGCTTTCTATTGTTGTGCAGTTATACAAAGGGAAATTCCAGCGAAAATGCACTGAAATGTTAGAGAAAGACCTACCCTCAACAGCAACAACAACCCCCCCCCCCCCCCAACTAACACACATTTTTTAAGATGTGTATTGAGATAGGTTCTGAAAATCGAGAAATAAATCTAATTTGAATATAATTTTTTTCCTATTACAGTGTGAAATCGGCACAGAAAATTATCTATTGAAATAAATATTTCTTTATCTTGAAACGCAGACAGTATGGCCTGCCTTAAGAAACATGATGTGACTGCGTATCGTAATGCACCTTATACTCCTTTGTTCAATAGGATCTACAGGCTTAAGGCCAGTGCAGAAAACTAAAAATGCCGCCATTTTTCAGTGTCCTTATTGAACATTGTGAACTTGTCTAGTCGGAAGCACAAAAAATGGTATTCCTGATATCGTGCAGAGTGTGTCGTGGCCTTGATTCAAGTTCAAGGTCACTAAGGATTAGATCTTTTTACTGATGTATGGTCTGAAAGAACATGTTTGAATTTGTCAAGTCGTTAACACCAGATGTGGTTTGCTTATAACCAGAGTGTGCCATGGCTTGTTGCAAGGTCATTTGGACAAGTTCAAGGTCACCACTATACACTCCTTTACTACCTTTCTACTGGCAAATCATTGCAGGTTGATACCCATTACAAGACTGCTTGTAACGTTAGAATGTGACATAGCCTTGACTCAAGGTCCCTACTTCCTGTCCACAGCTCCAACAAGAGCTACTCGTTGCTTTGCAACGAGCTCTGCCCTAGTTTATATAGAATCTATTAGCTCATGCATATTATCTTCTAAACGTAATGTTTTTTTTACGAAAGCCTATTAGTATCAAACTACGTTAAAAAAAAATTAAAAGGCGTTAAAACGCCTTTTCAAAAGGCGTTATAACGCGGAAAAGGGCGTAATAATGCAAATAAAGGCGTAATTACGCCTTTCCAAATGGCGTTATTACAACTTTCCAAAAGGCGTTATTACGCCTTTTTAAAAGGCGCTATTACGCCTTTCCAAAAGGCGTTATTACGCCTTTCCAAAAGGCGTTATTACGCCTTTGAAAAAGGCGTTACTACGCCTTTTCTTTCTAAAAGGCGTTATTATGCCTTTTGCAGGGCCATTATTATCTCTTTGACAGGCCCGTGCTTTTGAAGTGTGAGTGTGTGTGGGGGGGGGGGGAGGGGGGGAGGCTCCCATAAATTGACAAGCAAACAAAAAAAAAAAGACAAGAAACACGCCCCCCCCCCCGAAAAAAAAAATAAACTGCCTAAACTTGAGGGGAATCTTTTTCTAACTTTTCGGTAAAACTTTTTTTTTAAATGCAATGACTTGCCCGAGTTTAACCATACTGCAACAAAATCTTAAGAGACCGAGCAATCAATAAATGATTTTTTTTTTATATTTAAACTATAGGAAGACTATTCTCCCAAATAGTGGGGGGGAGCCCCCCTCCCCCCCCCCCACTCGAATTCGTACTACCGGCCTGTTTGAAAAGGAGTTATGTCCAAAAATGGAAAGGCGTTATTTTAAAATAGTAAATATATGAAAGATTGAACCAAAGCCATCTTTATTTATGCAATATTTAAATTATAGTTTTAATATTATAAATTAAAGTATTTTCTATATTCCTGCACATCTCGCAGACAGTTGTTTGCAATTTGCATGCATATTAAGAGAAGTCAACACTCTACTTTTGAAAATCCAGGATATAGGCAGAACCAGCTTTGGGCTTTGCTAGCCACGTATTAAAAATTCATGTCAAATTTGAAATATTTTTTCTCTCCTCTTGGAAAAAAAAACAGGCAAACTATTTGCATAGGTATAATGAGCAATTAGCCTTCAACCAAATTTCTGAAATCCATGCACCTTGGTAGAGGCGTCTGGCATCAGAGAAGGACTAAGTTGGTTTAATACTAAAAAAATATATACATTTAAAAATCTTTTTTCCTGGAAATCTAATTATAATCAGCCCCCAGGGTGGGCTAAGTAAGTCATGTATTGAAAAAAAGAGGTGTGATAACGCCTTTTGGAAAGGTGTAATAACGCCTTTTTAAAAGGCGTAATAACGCCTTTTGGAAAGGCGTAATAACGCCTTTTGGAAAGGCATAATAACACCTTTTTAAAAGGCGTGATAACGCCTTTTTAAAAGACGTAATTACGCCTTTTTTCGCGTTATAACGCCTTTTGGAAAGGCGTAATTACGCCTTTTGGAAAGGCGTATATACGCCTTTTAGAAAGACGTAATAACGCCTTTTTAAAAGGCGTAATAACTCCTTTTGGAAAGGCGTAATAACACCTTTTTAAAAGGCGTAATAACGCCTTGTAGAAAGGCGTAATAATGCCTTTTAAAAAGGCGTAATTACGCTTTTTTCGCGTTATAACGCCTTTTGGAAAGGCGTAATTACGCCTTTATTTGCGTTATTACGCCTTTTGAATTTTTCTTTTACCGTAGTTTGATCCTAATAGGCTTTCGTACTTTTTTGTTAATAATGAAAAAAAAATCATTGAAATGCCAGTGCCCCGTCAAATCTCCTCATCTTATTACATTCAGTAAAAAAAAATCTTGTCGAAAAATGGATCCCCCTTTACGAAAAAGTATTTTTGAGTTTCTCTCCCCCCCCCCCCCATTTTGGCTTCTCAAAGATTTTTTAAATTAATTATTTTTCCGTATAGACCCTTTATTTTTTGAAAGTGTACCAACATGTACAGGCTTGTAATACTGACAATGACTTAATAAAGTTTTGTTAATTTTATTTTAATTTTATATCTCTCCGATTGATCGTGATGCATGTTTGCCTGAAATGAATTTGAAACCAAAAAAGGTTTAAAGTAGCGCGGAATTACAATGTAATTTATCAATAGGACAACGGAAGGTTACTCTGTTATGGTATATGAAAAAAAAAATTCTACGGGTTCTCTCCTTCCGCGTCTTGTAGGTTAATGTTTTCAAAAGAATAATGACGACTCTAACAATTGGACATGTGCTATAACTCTTTGGAGAAATCATTGATTTCATCAAACTCAAATCATTGTTTATCACATTTATTGAATGTATGTTAGGTTGAAATTAGGTTTAGAAAAGGAATGAAATCCTATTGTCATTTCAGGAAGCCATTAGTATTTTACGTGTACTGACATTCCAAAGCTTCGCAAACTGTATAGAACTACCAGAAAACGCATGTCAATCGTCTTTAAAAACTATTACCTATGTTGCAAATTGTCCAACAAATACCGAAGAATACAATACCGCAGCTCTTCGGAAAGGATGCAGCAGATTAAACAATACCTGTAATTCATTTGAATATCATTGTGTTCTTAATGAAAGGATGACAAGTCTGTTGGAAGTGTGTGCACCTTCCACATTTATTTTGTGTAAGTATAATATATGCTACATTTTTCAAAGGAAAAATATTCAAATCTTCTTAGAATGAATAAAAAAAAAAAATAAGAATTTGTTTTTCTATAAAAATCATTGCAATAAAAAAAAAACCACTGTGAAATAGTATTTTAATTTTCATATACTTACATGAACATTGAAAATCATGGAGACAACATAATCTGTACAAATGATTTTTTACAGCCGGAAAGTGTACGGAATTTAACAAGGAATGTCAGTGTATCAGGAAAAGTTACTTTGCAGACTGCTCACAATTTTCTAAACCATGCCCAGACGATTACAACTCAACTACATCATTCTTGTGTATTTTTTTTCTTTAAGAACATTTGTCGCGATAAACATAAATTTGAATTTATTCAGGAATTTCGATAATGAATGTGTATAATACCTTTTAAAGTTTAAGATATTCAGTAGTAAGAAGTATATTTGATGCTCTATGAAATATCAATTTTGACACTGCAATTAAAGAAATTCAATGTACTTTCTATTAATAATCAGTTGGAATTCAAACATCTTACTTAAAAAAGGAACAAATTTAATATTAATCAATTAAAATAAATTGAAAAGGTTATGTTTTACCTCCTTATTGAACATAATCCACTTTTTTTTTTTTTTTTTTTACAGATTCACAGTGTCATAAAATGATAAGCACAACAACAGACAAAATGACCGATGCGACAATAAAAGACATGCAAACGACAGAACAGCAGTAAGTAGACACGTCATTAGATTTAAAAAAAAAAAAAAAGGTATATTATTTGAGTATATATGTAACATACACAAAATTTTGTTTCTCTATGCTTGATCAGATGTAGAAAATCCTAATAAAAATGTTTTATTTTAGACCCAAGAGAGTAATTGATAGCCCAATTACTTTGACAACCATAGTAATTCCTTTATCCATTACGTTAATAATCATCATCCTCATATCATTTTTCATCATTCGAAGAAAGAAAGGAATGGGCTCATGTAAGTTACATCTGATTCATTCTACATATACATGTACGGCTTGATTTAAACTAGTCAACAACGTCAAAAACTTAAGTTAAATTTTGAGATATTAATTACTATCCTATCTTGTAGTTTTTAACCATGATTAATCAAGGGGCTTATAATTACATTTGAAGGTTATGACGTTTTGTCACCCAGAAGATCAAATGTAGACCAGAGAGCCTCATCCAGACCATTATCTGGAGATGAGCCTATGCTGATGAAGGTTAATAAATTTATCTTTAGTTTGTCATGTTTCCAGAATATTATTTTTTCAAAGAAGCACAATGTAGCATAATCACAATTGTTTATTTTAAACCAATTTTTGTACTTTTCTGAATTTAAAAGTTCAAATCAGTAAGAATTATTCGACGAAAATTTAACTCTAGCGAGTAAAAGAAAGTGTTTTATTTTCTCTTTGTTTAATTTGTAGGAACACTAGGACAACACTGAATAAATAAAAAAAAAAAAAAAAGAGAAAAGAAAAAAGAAGTGAAATAGAGTTTTTACACCAAATTCAATACTGAAGACCATAAAAGTAATTGTGATTGTGAGGACAAGCATACCTAGTGGACTATTTCCAAAGATTTACAATTGATCATTATTTGCTATACTGCCAATATATAATAAGCATTTTTTGAATAATTATATATAATTTTTGTTTCGCTGTATCATTATTTCCGTCAACAATCTTCGTATGGCAGCATGATTTTTTTTAATCACAAGTATATTTTACGCACTTATGCAATTTTAAATATTTTTTTTTAAGTTTTCGTTTGCATTAAACGATGCAAATATTTTTTGATATTGTATTAATTTATTAAACATACTTTGAATTCTTCAGTATTCATTCAATAGTTTTTTTTAATCTCTTGGTTTTTATTTTTATTTATTTATTTATTTATTTATTTATTTATTTATTTTTTGGTCACCTAATTCACTCAGGCGACTAAATACTATCTGTTGTTGTCTGTCGTCGTCCGCCGTGCGTAGGCATTAATCATTAGACCATTTTTAGATTCTTTCCCTCAAGAGCTGAACCAATTTTGACATAACCATCAATGTGTGAAGGGGAACAATAAAGTCAAAATCCCAGAATCAGAGGGTAATTTGAAGTTAGGACCGGACTCTAATGATCAAGTTCAAGTTCTTTATTTCTTTGCGTCATACGACACATCAGATTACATATATTAATAACTAAACATATATACAATATTGTAAAATATAACAATATGAGAGTGAGCATAATCAATAAATAGCAAGTAAACTATATAGGACGTGTTTTCTAACAGGCAACTGTAATTACAAAACACTTAAAAAATTTATAAATGTTTCATTCTTCTAGTTGAAGCTTGATATAAATATTTTCCAAGGTTACAAAGTTCCTATATATTTTGTACACTTAGAAGTTGAATTAATTTTCAAACACTGGATTTCTTATAATGATACTTTTTCAAATACTTAGATCTAAGGTCATGATAAAAAGGGCATTGTAAAATAAAATGAAATTCGTCTTCGATAACATCATATTGTGAACATGCATAAATTCTTGCGTAAATTTTTCTAAATTTGAGCAATATGGTCAGTGTCAGACTTTGGAGAATAAATATGTATGGAGCCTAAGAAACATTGCAGCCATTTGAAACTCATTATAAAATCAAAGTACTGAAAGTACTGGGAAGCGCTAAGCATATTGCAATTTGAAATTCATCAAAATTATTTTGAATTTAAATTGCTGTTGTATTGGAATTTAAGCAATATCTCGACAGTGCGGCTGCGTTAGGGCTAGCACAGTTGTTTGATACATAATCAAACATGTGAGTCATGAAAATTTCCCGTTGGGATATGAAATTCAACATTGTCTTATGCCTTTTTATTTTAAGCATTTTACATTTTCTTCTGTCAAAAGATCAATGAATTTCATATACACAAAATTGCAAGAAAATACTTCTCCGCTTCTTTAAAAAAAATAATATATACAAATTAAATGGCAGATATTTACTCCAAACAGCAATGTACCTGAAACCTATTAAAAAGAAAGAAAAACATGTAAAAATATTTTCTTTCTCCATCTCCTTATAAGAGTCTATAAGAGGTAGTTTTGCGTATAAATCGCAATTTATTGGAGGGATGGTCGACGAGTTTTCCGACCAAATTTAGACTATAAACAGTGGCGTAGCTTCCATTGAAGCACGGAAGCACGTGCTTCCACATTGTTCGGTGGGGGGAAATGAATTCATAAAAAGTTACAATGCTTTTCAAAAATAAATTTGAAACACTCTCCAAAGAAAATACTGAACTGTAGAAAAAGTTTGCATTATTTGTTTAATTTTTTAATTTATATTAAATTTATGAATATCATTTCTATATATAATTCATAAGACTCAAGTTCATGAAAACATTCATGTATGATTGAAATTTCAAAAGCATTTTATAAAGGATAATACATACTTAGTGTAAGATGTATAACATTGAATATATGTAAAATGCATGTAGGCCTATAACAGGCTAATAATAAGGACATCTGGGAGAACTGCTGCTTAAAAAAGTATTTAGAAAAAACAAACTAACATTTAACATTTTATGGTTTAAAATGTTATTAACCTTTTTAAAGTCAATCGTCACTTGTCTAAAATGCACCAGCTTCCAGGGGCTTCGCCGCCAGAGTCCCCAGGACTTCGCCTTGGTCCCACGGGGGCTTTGTGCCCCCCCCCCCCCCATTTTATGCTTTCACATTGATCGACCCCAAGCTACGCCACTGATAAATGTAACTATACATTTGCTGGAAAATGTATATATTTCTAAATGATTTTGAATACTTGAAAATGCCGCTGAAATTCCTCTCATTTATGTGCAACACCGACAGCTAAAATATTCTGGTGATAATTTTTGATAATAAATTCATTCCGTGCTTGTTTACGAGTGTTTCAAATTGATTAATTGATTGATTGTATGTTTTACGTCCCATTCGAGAATTTTTCACTCATATAGAGACGTCACCATATACCGGTGAAGGGCTTTTTTGACCTTTACTCGGCACTCAGGGCCATTGAGCAGTGAGGGATCTTTATCGTGATAACGCCTGCCGTGACACGGGGTCTCGGTTTTTAAGGTCTCATCCGAAGGACCCGCAACTTTCACTTCAAAGTGCCGAATGCATGGCGAAGGAACAGTTGCTACCCATTTTTTTTATCGACTTACGTCAGTCGAGGCCGAGATTCGATCTCACGACCTCCCGATCACGAAGCGAGCGCTCTATACCGACTGAGCCACCGTGAACGGTATTGTTTCAAATTGAAGATTGGCTGTTAGTGACTGTGCTTTAATTCTAAAAACTGCACTCAGAAAATAAAGATGTTATTTGTTTATTGCGTCGTTAAATATTTCCTTATTGAAAACATAATTATTTATTAAAGTTATAGATAAAACATCTCAAAAATATTGAATACTAGAATTCTCACTAAATTGTTTTTAGTATATCTCTTTTTTTCATATTCATAAGCGATTTATTAATTTACGTTTCGTAGAAAGGCAGGCGCGTAGCTGCCTATACGCAAATACGCAAGTGCGTACACATCAATTTCAAAAAAAAAAAAAAGAATTATTCGGAGAAAAAAATCTCAGTACCATCCAAGAAATATGTTTAAAATTAGAATTTCAAATTTTATCATACAGCCATGATAATTTAAAATTAATTTAAATCGAAAAGTATTCACTTCTATAATTATTACTATGCCTTTTATTTTACTATGTCTTTTATTTCCTAAATAAAAGCTAAATGGCCCAATTTTTATTTTGCAAGAAATGAATGAATTATTGGGTAAAACTCAGGAGCTTAAATCTAGCCCCTCATCAGCAGACACATAGTATTGCGGGGGGGGGGGGGGGGGGCTCCACCCCAGCTTATTTTCAAACCTAACCTTTTACTATTGAAAATGTACATTGAAAGGGTGGACCCCACGGTTTCTTGTAGCATTGTTAAATCATGGTAATTTGGTAATGTTTTAATAAACTTTGGTTTGTGAAAGTTGGACCCCCCCCCCCCCCCCAAAAAAAAAACCCACAAGAAATAGGACTCCAAATTTGACTTCTTTCTTCCTTGCTTGTCAAAGTTTTTAAAGCTGTAATTTTTTCCTGGCTGGCATAAACTATATTACTTGTCTGACCAGGGCCCTTGACACACTGGGGGGGGGGCTCAAGACCCCCACCCCACCCCGGCCTGCCTTCCTCTGCGTACACATCATTTCCATTCTGGCTACGCACCTGAAAGGATTTTACAAGAAATACATTAATGGAGTGTGTAAGATATTTACACAATCGCTACGAGCGTCCAGTATTTATTAATGATAAATAAAACTTAGACTATATATTACATACTGTTTTGAATAGTCTACAGCTGTGTATTATACATTTTGAACACTTCACATTCATCGCGCTGTGCAGCATATCGGCATCATGTTTGTAACAACGCCTTGTGACAGAACTCTATGTCAATGAAATGAGCACTCGTAGAGTTAATGTCCTTTTGTCAGAGATAATTGGTAAATATACATTTTGAGTATAAAGATATAATATTTGTCTTCTTCGTTTGATGATAAAACATTCGGTGCTATCCTTTCATCTCTGATTTTCATATACGTAATTTATAATGCATTGCAACAAAAATTTGTCTTTTCTGTTGATCTCACAATATGTATAATTTGTAAATATTACTTTTTTAAAATAAAATTATCATACTTTTCTTCTTCGGATTAAAAATATGTCATTAAACCCCAAAAGTAGACTATTGTTAAAATGCTTTAAAATGCTTCTATATTTTTTTACGGACGTTTGATGCTTTACACAATTCTTTACTTGTTTATGTATGATATTAACAACCACACAAAACGTGTTTAGAGGAAAAAAATATCCACAGCACTGTTGTGTTAGTTGAAAAGGAATACTGAAAATAATTGCCCGTAATTTTTCTGCTATTTCTATGATAAATAATTCAACAGCCCAAGAAAAAAAATACAGTGTATTAATCTCAAGTATATATAAATAAATCTTCATGAAGGTATACAACATTTTTTATTCTGTTTTTATGTGGTCCTCATTAAGTTGCTAAGCAGTCAAATCGGCAACACGCGCACATCTTTACATAAACTATTTCTTACTAGTTTCCTAATACAAATAAATTACACTGTTTGCTGAACAATTCATCGGCGCTATTCCTATCCATTGCTAATAACGTTTAATTAAGGTTTTTGCATTTTTCGCCATATCTTGCGCACTGCACACACAATTTTAAAGCACAATATTCCGAGAAATTAGTTTTCCTATTTGAGTGGATTCGTTGAAAACACAGCCACCACGTGCCCTATATGTACGTACAGCCGCAAACTGCCTTTCCTTGCGAATTATTTACATCATATTTTTATCCATATTATAAGTATAGAATACCACAAAAGTATAGACAGTCCATGAATGCATTCCAGTCTGTTACTAATTGATACAGAGATGCGAAAATCAACTCCATTGATAGCTCTCTGCATGGTGCAAGGGTGATAATAGGAAGACTTGTTTTTAGTTACATTGCCTGAAATAAGGGTCTATAAGAAGAAATAATAGTTTATATGGATATAAGTTATATAGAACGTACATATGTAAGTACATTGTAAAT